GGGGGGGGAGGGCATTGACATGCCTGGATTTGTGTTAACCTGTATACAGTGTATTCTGCCCATACAATACTATGAGCACAACAACACAGCAGCTGGGCTCCCGGGCCCTGCAGATACAGGTGTATGCTACGCTGTATGCCCATGTACCTGCATTGGTATCCATGGGAGCTGTAATGTATGTTATGTAATGCGTATGTTACGCTGTATGCCCATGTACCTTAATTTGCAACAGTGGGAATGAGACCTTAAAGGAAGTAGATGGGGACCCCGGATAATGCACAGGCACCGGGATTTAGGATTTTAGTAAAATTCAAAAGGGAAAGCCCCTGAGATGTGATTAAAGTATGTGGCCCGTTCACACCAGACACAGTACGTTCCGGTCCGATTCTGGCCAGAGCACACTGCATCGCATTGCGGCCGGCTCACTCTGTTGTGGGGCAGGAGGGGGCGTGGCGGTCTATTGAAGTGAATGGCACCGCGGCCCAGCACTCCGCACTATTTTTTCTGACCGGACCGCAGGCATTGATGTGCCTTACGTTACCATGCGGCCGGACTGCGTGGCTACGGTTCCATTCACTTCATTGGACCACCACGCCCCCCTCCTGCCCCACAACACAGTGAGCCGGCTGCGATGCAGTGCGTTCCGGCCAGAACGCACTGTGTCTGGTGTGAATGGGCCCTCAGGGTAGAGAATTATAGGAGCTGATTGTTTTTTACCAGAATGATAAATAAATTCTCAGATAATTCATGAGCAGGCCTCGTCCTGGTGATCATCTGGGCCAGGAATACCCGCCTACGTATGGCAAAGCTCGGTTGCGTGCTACCGCGCCTGATGATTGTGCGTGTACAGGGCCGGATTTCCCACAAGGCCAACCAAGGGCCGGCCTTGGGGCAGCAGGGAGTAGAGGGGCAGCAGGGGTGTGGAATTCCTATCTCCCGATGCCTGGGACATGCAGTTCCGGGCACCGGGCGGGTAGTTGTTATATACAATTAGCCCGGCTTTGGGCAAGTAGAGCTAAATGTACAGCGGGGAAGCCGCCGCTTTTTTTGTGCAAGTGATCTCTTGTCCCCAGCCGGTCTGCCATTCTCCATGGGGGGGAGGGCTTGGGGCAGCAGAGAGAGTAAATCCGGCCCTGTATATACTGTATGTGACTGGCAGGATTATTTTATTGCTTTACAGAACCCCTGAAATGAGATTTGTTTTCCAAGGCAAAAAGAGAATTTGGCAGCGCAGCTTGCCCGGTATACAATCACTAAAGGTGAAGGAGGAGGAAACAAGCGCAAATAGACGATGAATGAGCGAGAAGTCGATGGGGAGATGAGCTGACAAGGAATATAGACATTCGGTTCCCTGAGAAGAAAGAGGAAGAGAAACACGAAGTTTAGTGATTAGAAAAAGCAAAGTGTAAGTGTGAGGGCGGCGATAGGAAGAGGAGAATTAGGGAAGTGCTACATAGAGACAAAGCCCAACCACCGATACCAAAAATATACAGACTGCAGGGATAGAATACTGGGCCGGACATATACTATATGGCCAAATGTATGTGGGCTCCTTACCATCACACCTACCAAGTGTATGTGGGCCCCCAATGACTGAAGTGCAAGTGTCTCCAGTGAAGGTTCTGTTCATCCTCCATCATACAAAGACATTGTAGACAATTGAGCTCTTCCAGCTTTGTGGTCACAGTTTGGTGAAGACCCTTTTCTGTTCCACCATGACTGTCCCCTGTGTACAAAGCCAGCTCCATAAAGACATGGTGTGACCAGCTAGGTGGAGGAACTCGAGTGTCCTGCACAGAGCCCCGACCTCAACCCTACTGAGCACCTTTGGATGAACTGGAACATCGATTGGGAGCCGGGTCTTCTCCTCCAACATCAGTACCTGACCTCATAAATGGGCCCAAATTCCCACAGAGACCCTCTGAGATCTTGTGGAAGTCTTCCCAGAGGAGTGGATGATGGTATAGCCACAAAGAGAGGCAACTCCATATTAATGTCCATGGGGGGGGGGGGCAAACCCCTTTT